TTTCACTAAAGTGCTGTATTTCAATCTGTAAAGGATTGTAAAAAAGTTATTAGTATTTTTTGTCAATTCAAATCTGTGATGTGAATAAATGGGTAAACAAGTACATTTTTTCTCTTTTACTTTTGTAGAATGGAGCCCCTTATGGAAAATAATGAATGATTGTTAATAAATTAAATAATAAATGAGCTGGTCCAGTAATTACTAGAACTAACAAAAAGAAAATGATGTCTTGTGTTATAATATTAAATAACATCAGTTTTATCTCTCTAGAAATTGCACATAATGTCAATAGTCTACATCTGACGTGAACGGAAGAAAGAAATTTTTCGTTTCAAAAATGCTAATGATTCCAAAAGTAGACTTTATTCATATTTAATAAAACATTTTTTTTTATCTGATTACCGTTGTTATTAATGTAGTTTGTAGTACAGTACGAAGTATATTAAATTTTCGTTTTGGCGGTGATAATGAATCATTCTTTTTGCGTGAATAACATTTCCTTGCGAAAATTATCATGAGCTATGTACTAACATGTATATTAACTGTTATAGTAACCTTTAGTTTATAAGCTCTAGCAAAGTCGTTAAGATTATTCCTTCCTACAAAAATAAATGTAAAAACACTTTTATGATTCAAATTTTTCTTACAGCAGATAAAGAGGTTGTATGTTGGGTTGTATAATTTTAGTGTTGATGGTTGTTAAATTACCTAATGAATAACTTGTATATGAAAACATTTTTTTCGAGAATCCAAGACCATTGCACTTGACTTTTCGGTAAAAAACACACTCGTCCTGTGACCTTAGTCAAAATCCTTAAATAATTGCTCCTATTATAGGTATGATATGGAGAGTATATTTTGAAATACATATAAATTGATGAAAATATGTACAATTTATGATTTTTTTAAATTAAGCTGACTGTATTCGTATGAACCGCTATATAACATATGTATTCAAATTAATAGTAGTAGTGGTAGGATGTAGTTAGTCAACTTGTTTACTGATCACAATTATTGTGAAATCAGAAATTACCGGATGAAACGCAGGACAGTATCTTGTTTATTTTTAAAACTAACTTGTTCGTTTGTTATGAATAACATAAGGTCTTTTTCCAAAAAACAAAATGTTATTTTCTGCTTTTCCTTCCTAAGTAATTTAATAGGCAGCAGTGAGATGATTAGTCGTGCAAATCTTAACTAGTATTGTACAGTATCCACTTCCTCTTCCACATTTTTTCTATATGTAAAAAAGTAGAAAGTACAGTCCTGTACTGGAATGATACACTCATTCAATTCTTCAAATTTTACGACTCCAAAGTCTGCTTCTCCGTGTAGTTTTATAAAATGCCCCATCCACACAAGATAATATATGTTTGTATAAAGATTTATTAGCATCGAATGATCTGGTTTTATTATTCAAACGTTTTCGTCTTTCACCGATTGCTTTATAATAAACGAAACAGTGTTGTAAATGTCAGTAACAGAGTAACAGATCTCGTGAGCGGAGGGGTTTACATTGTTTAATTAAATCCCGAGTACGTAAAAGGCCGAGAGTTGGTAGAATTAGATAGAAAAATAACTGTGTTCCATCCGTTAATCAACACTACAATGAATTTAATCGTAGCCGTTTGTTTGATTTTAAATTTGTTTTTCGAAAATGGAAAGGGTCATTCCTACAATCTTGGCGACTGTCCTGCTGTAGAGCCGATGCAAGATTTTGATATGAATCGAGTAAGTTTTTAATTAACGTTATTTATATTGTAATAAATGAGAACCATTCAATTATTGAAAATTTGATTGTAATATTTATATGTATGAGTACTTGAAGACTATACTACGTACATAAAAGGTAAATAAAATACACACGATATGATATTTCACAAATGCAAACTTGTAAGAAGTATTTTACTTATTATCAGAAAGAAATGTTTTTGACCTCTTGTATGAGAAAAATATCATTTTTTCGTAAATGAGCATTGATGATGCGTAGATAACTTTATTAATAAGAAAAATTAAAGTAAATAAGTGATGAGAGATACCTCATTGGGAACAAGTATATAAGTAGGTACATATAAAATTGAACATTCATAATTGGAATTACTAATTACGACTGATAATGATAATTGAACAAATGCGTTTCATTAATCGTTCATAAGGTTCATTTACTGGTCATGAAAGTTAAGTGACCGATGCTGCGATGTGCACAATTCTAAAATAGACAGAGCCGGACTAGGGTGCACAAATCAAAATACTTATATACATATAAAACTCGTAACCACAGTAATGTATTAGACTGACATTGAAAGTAAATAAATAGTTGAAACTCAAGTATTAATGTTATAGCCTTGAAAAAGGGAGAATAAAATAACAGTCACTTTTTCGCTGCCCTCGCTGTATTATTCCAAAGATATAACTTTTTTTAGTAAGTACGTTATCTAGAATAAGTAAAACACTTCTTTCTTCTATTCACCATAATAATTATTATTATAATGGTAGTTCGCTCTTTTATACGTATTATTTTTACCTTACACAGTCTTACACTTATTTTTAAATTTATTGGAAGAGATGCCAAAGCTTCTCTTGAATCTAATAAGACATGCAATAAAAATATTTTAAAGATTGCAAATCACTTACTTTTTGTCCAAGGACGGCATCTGAAATAAAAACGAAAACAAAAAAAAATTAAAAGTGTATCACATATGTAGAATAAATTACACATTATTACTGTTGTACCTGATAATAATATATAACTATTATTTTATTTTTCTAAACTGTATTAATTAAAAACGGCAATTATTTTATTTCAGATGTTAGGAATATGGTATGCAGTGCAAAAAACTTCGACCGCAAGTAGTTGTGTAATATATAATTTTACAAGAACAAACGAACCATACGAGTACGATCTTGAACAGTATTCGCAACACTTTGCTATAGGATTAACACCATTGAAACACGAGTACAAATACACGGGGAAATTACATGTGCCCGATAAGG